GAAGTAGGCCCACCCACTAACAGGGCTCTGGGCACGCAGTGGGTCAAAGTGAAATGATGAGCCGATTTGAGCAACTGTGCAATCCTTGAATCAGTCTGCTTCCAGCATCAATTTGCTATTTCCTTGGTGAGCTCTTTGAACTCTCTGCCTTTAATCTCTCCTTCTTTCCTATGGCTCGTCTTCCAGCCCCTACTGTAGGGACAGGAGAGGAGCCCTTATATCCATACAGCTTCATTCTCCTCCTGTATTCTTTCCTCTCTTCATTAGTGCACATAAGGAGTCAAGGACTGACTGCATACAGTGCTGAGGAGTTCATGGACATGCGTGCAAGCACACATATATTTCTTCCAAACTTAGTGTCAGAAAAAGTGACCTGAAATTCCTAATTCAGAGAAAACAACATGATTGGTCCAAACCCTAAGACAAAACAACAATCTTTCAGGGACAGAATCTCATAAAACTTTTATGGAAAGAAATACTTTTGTTGTAATCAAAGCATCTCTCTTTCCATTCTGGTCTTGATATTGGTGTTATTTTCCTAGGTCACACCAATAATCAGGAGCATAACCAGAAGTTCAGAACCAAGTCTTGCTTGCATTTGTACATTTCACAGAACTGTATAAATTCTCATCATTAAATGTCCTGGGAGGGTCCATAGATATTATCTGATGTGATTACACACACACACACACACACACACACACACACACACACACACACACACAGTGTTCAGTAAGAGGAAGAGGCTTTCTATAAAAAGGCAAGTCTCAACTTCCAACTGAGCTCACTCATCTTTAAAGACCCTCCTCATTTGATTGAAAGTTAATTTCTCCACCCAAGATATCAACCTCTTCTCCCACACAGGCCCATTTTAGAAGGATCTCAGCAAGCTTTGCACTTTGGAAAGTCTACTGTGCTGGTTTTTCCACCATGGACCGTGGCTTTTCCTGCTGACCATGATACCCAAGGCATAAATTGAACAGACCAAGCTTGTGAATATACCCAGATCCAAATGCAGAAGATAAAGGATAGATATGGGCTGCTGCTCAATGTTTTCATTGTAACACAAAGTAACAGAAAAAACTCTGATTCACTGAGGTTCCAAAGGTGCTGTTCTCTGGGTTAGCAAAGCAGCTCAGGGGTAAACACAGAAAACTAACAGACTCAAGTTTTTCTTTGGCCTGTAGGAAGCTCAGACCTGACTTTGTAGCCCAAGTTTAGTTATGATATGAAGACTTTATCCCTACCTTATCTTAACCTTCAATTTCCTAATATAATTACTTTTACCTTGTCATAAATATTTCTGTAAGTCATTGTTTATTTTTCTGGAAAACAAGGTGAATTTATTTTTACCATTCTAAAATTTCAAAAGAATCGTAGTCTCCAAATGTTTTAAGGATATTACATATAGGTCCTGTGCACCATTTACCTGGTTTCCTCCAATGATTATGTTTTACACAATAAATATAACAAAATATCAAAACCAGGAGCTTGATATTGGTACAATGTGCGTTCTAGAGCCTATAGTGACACGATCTCCTGTGTGCTACCCCTGTAAAGTCACACCCACTCCCCTCCCCCACCACCCTTAACCCCTCATAACCACTAACCTGGTCTCCATCACTACAGTTTTGTCATTTTGAGAATGTTATATAAATAGGTTCATGTAGTATGTGAAGGTGAATGTATTTTTCAAGTATATTTATTTGCTCATTCATATTCTTTCCCTAGGTCATTTTCATTTGCGATTTTATTCATACATTCACATATTCAAGTGGCAAACTCTGGGCTAGGGCAGCCACTGCTGAAGAGATGTGACATTTTCTAAGCACCCCTGTTGTCCAGTATCTTATAATTTGTTTAGGAGATAAAATCCAGTGAACTGACTTTGGACTTCTGGGTTCCAGAATTGTGAGGGAATATATTTGTTGTTTGAAGCCACCGTGTTTGTGATAATGTTATAGCAGCTCTAAGAAATGAACACACTCCCTGACAACTAGGACAGTGTCTTTCTGATACATGACAAGTGTTCAAGAAATCTTTTAAGAAGTTCTTTGAATTCAGAATGAAGGGAAAAGCTCTTCCAAAAGGGAATTCCTGGAAGGCTTCATGGGTGTAGGATTTGGGCTGTTTCTTGAAGAATCAGGTGAGTGTAATAGAAAGAAAGAAATGGAGTGAGGCATCATTTCGAGCCCAGGAGTGCGAGGGCAGTGCACTGGCCCAGTGTGGGTAGGATAGAAAAGAGTCTGCACTGGGGACAAGTGAGGGAAGCACCGCAGTACAAATGTCATGGCGTCATTTGTCAGTCCATGGATGGGTTTTCACTGGCTTTCCTCCAATACAAGCAATCCTGCCCATGTGGGAAACTTTTACAGATTCTTCTTCTGAGATCTGAGAATGCACAGTGGAATTCTGTGGTGTGCTGTAGAAATCCAAGTGGGACTTCTTGGCTCCGCTGCCAGAATGCTATTTGGAGCCTAGTAGAATAGAAAGAACCCTTTCCTTCCTCTGAGAAATGACTCCGTGAATCACTGACCGTTTGTTTATCATCGTCTTAGATTCTGCAGCGGTTCTAATTCACAAAGCCCGCTCATCCGCTTAGTGGGGATATGGCAATTCACATAGCAAACCGATGGGCTTGTCATCTGTGTTCAAGAACCCTGATGCTTCATTCCCAGCATCCAAAAAGAAAATACAGCCAACTCTATTCTATCCGCCATTCTGCTCAGGCTCTGTTAATGAGCACATCGGTGGGTCTACAGCATAATGCAAATTAGTGTTGGTGGTGTTGCTGATGATTCTGATATAACAGGGTCTTGACAGGCCTTGTAAATTCTCAAAGGCAAAGTCAAATTACTTCAATACAGTTGCTTATTTACCAGAACTCTGTGCTAAATAGAACATTTTATTCCCTGCCCACATTAAAGAACAGTTATCCACAACAGCAATCCCCAATTGATAGGTTCCCCCAAATCTCTGCTCATTTTTCCAAGATACTCTCTGATTCCCAAAAACAATTGCAAAAAAGTTTGGAACTTGAGAAAATATATAGCTTTTGAATTGGAGGCAAGATATAGGTAGACCAACAGGACAGAATGAAAAGTCAAAAAATATCCTGATAGGAATTTAATATATCCTCAAGGTGGCATTACATATATGTGGAGAAAACAAAGATTTTTGACAATAAAAGGTAACTGAATAGACCAAACTGAATAGCAATGTGACAATAACTGAACTGAACCCATATGTCACATGATACCACAAAACAAATTCCAAATGGACTATTTATTTAATAGAAACAATAACACCTTAAAAGTACTATATAAAATATATACCCATATGATGGGAAAGAATGTTTAAGGTATGATGCCAGTGCCAGAAACCATATTAGACTAACAAATTTGTATGCAAAATTGAAACTTCTGAATGAGAGAAAAAACAAACGACAAATGACAAAACCATAAGAAAAAATTGCAATGACTATGGCAAAGACGTAACAGCCTCTTGTAAGTAATTCACAAATGAGCTACAGGGGTTAAAAGCAATTCTTGCCCACATAGTCCAATTCAGCTAAGCACTCTTAACACCAGGATCTTAACACAAGTATACGAAGTCTATTTATTGGAGTGCCTAGACAAAGAAGTCGCACAAATATCCTATTCTACAGGATAAATCTTCCTTGGAATGGATGCATACCATAATATGCAAAAAATACACCAAGGCATTAACAATGGTAACTTTTTGTTTTTCTTGTGTGTATTTTCTAAAAGTTTCTGACAGGGATATGCTTCACCCTGGAAGTGAGGGAAATTTTTTTGTATCAGCCCATGTTCTTAATTCAACAGCAACAGCAACCAATTCTGGATATTTTAAGCCAATAGGTGATTTATTAAGAGTTTGGGGCAGCTCACTGAATTACACAACAGGCAGAAAACCGGTTTGGGGCCCGAGCAGACAGAAAGTGCTTCCAGATGACACTTCAAGGTCAGTGTGGGCAGAACACATGAGCTGTCTCCTGAAGCGTTCAATGCTGATGCGGACCACCTCCATCTCTGCCCCGGGAGCTGCACCTGGGGGCAAACCCACTGTCCCTCCTGCCGGAGATCTGCACCACCTCTGCCTCTTCTTGCCACTTAGCTCCCTAGTCAAAGTCGGGGGCACGGCTGGCAAAATGACCTGGACTAGGTCACGTATTTGCATCCCAGGATGTCAGAGAAGAGCGGCATTTGGCATTTTCAGCTTTCACAGTGGGCAGATGTCTCTTCATGTCATTAGGACACGTAAGGCAGAGAACTCTCTAAACACAGGAAGGTGGTTCGTATGCTCAATGGCTAAAAGAACAGTAAATCTCCACTACATAATACACTATAAAAGTAAAGAGATTTTCATCAAAAATATAGAGGGAGGGAGGACTGTGAAAAGCAGCAGTAGTTTAGAGGGAATTATGAAGTTGGGCTGAACATAATTCAGGCAGGCATAATGCTTCCACTTACTGCAAATTATCTTTCTCTCTCCTTAAAATATTTTTCCCTTTATTATTCTCCCTAAGAGTCTCTGCTAATTGGTACATTATTGGGGGATTAACATGCTTTTCTAAAATGAAAATTCATTTTTATAATACTTGTTTTCAACTGATATGGATTAATTTGGTCATTCTGCATTTTAATTCCTGCTTCAGAAAGTGGCACCAATCCTATCTAGGAATGGATTAGAGGGAGATGAAGGAAAATGGGAGCCCTTAGGAGACCTGGATAAGGAGGTGCAAGATGGAGGGATTGGTGTATGGTGAGAGCACAAAGGAAAGCAAAAAATACAAGCATAAGACTTAAAAATTTGTTTGCAACATCGGTAGAACAGGAAAAAGATGAGAGAAAAAAAATGAATTCTTCCTTATGGACTCAAATGGACCCCAAATACGGACAATTATTACTGTGATCCAATTATCTTATAGGATACAAATTATTCCAAAATGTAAATGTTGTTTAGAAGTAGATTCTTACCATCAAGTCCCATGGAAGCACTTAGGTGGATGCTCCGTTCATCCCCAGGCGTGTGCCCCAGAGCGGCTGCAAACTCCAGGTTGGAGGCATTTACCGGCTGATGTGCTGGACACTTGCAGGAAGGTGGCCAGCTTCGGAAACAGGAGTAACTGTGCCCCTCCTCGTGGACGCTGTGCCTCACCTGTGATGTTCACGTCCTTGCACTGGCGGCGAGGAAACTGAGTCAAATTAAGCCAGCTCCAGAAAACTAAGATAATAAGTGGTGTTTATGGCATGTTTTCTGGATCCCAACCCTGCTTATTTTTCCTATCGTTTTAGTATTTACCATTGCTCTTCTCCTCTCCCCTATTAAGGAGAAAAAAAGTGTAAGCCACATTAAAATCTGTTTTTATAAGGAGGCAGGGCAAAAGTAATAAATATGCACATCGGCATTTGCTTAGGAACCTAGAATATAAATTCAAGGCACTCGCTCTTTATTCTGGTAAGACATCAGATCACAATTAAATCTTCCTCAAATTCTCTGTTGTCCTGGTAACTGCTCTCTACTTAGAACATGAGGGTGAGATTGCCCAAAAGGGTCTGAAAGAAGAGCAAGAGCTTATTAAGGAATTCTTTCTGGTGTTCATAACCACGCAAGCTGTGCCAGAATGGCAGCAGAGTTGGAGAAAAGCCGTCCTTCAAGTTATCCCAATTGTTGCGATGTATTTGGGCTTTGCTGCCGGTAAGAGGCTATATGCATTGTAATAACAAGATTGGCTATGGCACACAAAAATATTGACAATGAATAGTACTTGGGATAATCACAGATTGCAAATTCTCTTAAATGCATTTGACTCTTAACAGATATATTTAGAACTAGATGAACAGTAGCTAGGGGGGTTTCTTAAAGTGTCAAATGGTGTGAATGAATAAAGATGGTTTTAAAGGAGCCATATTGCTTAGGGATTAAGGCCAACTGGAACAATTCACTTAAAAAAAAAAAAGCCTCCAAGCTCAAGAGAGCACCTCCCCTTAATTCGACTGAGGTATACAGCCTTCAATCTTTAGGACTCATGCTGGCAGCCGGTGATGGTTTGTATCTCTCCATTTGCCCAAAGAAGTTTTTAATTGTTCATTTAAGTGGGAACTTGCAACTCTTGTGAGATAATGTTTGTAGCAACAACAAAAGAGGGGAAAAAATTTAAATAGCAGTCATTTTTATTTTGGCTTAACAGATTTTAGCAGGAGGACTCTGAATATGAATCGGCTTCATTTTTAAACCCTTAAGAGAATTTCTGAAGCAGCCCATAAGGTGCCACTTTAGTCAGAGGCAATTAAAAAGAGCCTAGAATAGCAAGAAAGAAAATCGCAAGATTTGTTCGGACACTGTAGGAGAAATAAGTTAGAAATTATATGAATTTCATTCCTATACCCTCCCTAAGTCTGTGTGCGTTTATACTCGTGCATAAAACTCTTCCGTAGGTTTTGGAGGTGGGAATGGGACAGGAGGTATGGACTAAACACTAAGAAATGTATATTGTTATGTTTTAACTGCAACAGTGGAGTGTGTTACAAGCACTTAATAGAAAGGACAGTGCAGACTTTTCCCCATCGGGGAACCGCTCTTCTCAAGAGTTGAATTCTAGTCCTTCCTTGATAATTTGGGTGCATTAGAAAAAAATAAATATGTATTAGAACTTTTCCTCTCTAGGTATTTTTTCTGCATGGTTCTTAAGGATAAAGTTATTTTTAAAGTCAAATTCTTTACAATACAGAGTGACTTGGACACTCTTAGAAACATGGCTTCTCAAAGTGAAATATCAACAGCGGATACCCATGGATTTCCTACATGTACCATTTTTAAAGTAGCCTGCACCATATTCTTCTAGCCTGTGAAAAAGCTAGCTAATGATGAATAAAACTAATTAGTATAAAATAAGACCGTATCTGCATGGTAGCTGCTCACAATGTGGAAAATAACTTTTTCATGGCCTATTTTCTCTTAAAATGTATGCCCTTTCCCATCCCTAATGTGTTCTGTATATGTAAAATACTCTTCACAGCAGGACCCAGGCTTGGAGGCCTTAAAACCCAGTAAGAGAATCCTGTAGTTTAATGGTCCTTAAACGCTCAACATCTTTTTCACTTAATGTAAAATCCATCTGATCTAATAGCTGTGACTGAATTATAGATATCTAATTTTTTTCTATTAAATGTTAATCTTCTGACTTGGCAGAGCAGTAGAAGCTCTAAATTATTAAAAAGGCAATAACCTCTCTAAACTCTTTCCTGAATTCTGAATATTCCCAGGGCTGCTATCTTGAAAAAAAAATTGCAAACCTGTTTAAAATATAAAAACCAGGCCCATTAAGTACAAGAATTTGATGCCATATATCAATTATAGGGGGCATTATTTCAGTGACGTCTCTTCTGTTATTTCCCCAAATGGTATGTACATACACACGTACACAAAATGGGGAGAGCAGCCCTCACAAACCTTGGCTCTTTTTCATTTACATGACATTTTTGTGACCTTCCCATTTTGACTGAGCTCCTTCATCCTCAGTGTTCGTTCATGCAGGCATAAATGATGAACATGCCCTCTAGCGTGTAAGCGATGGCACATGCACGATCATGCAAACGCACGTGCTCTCACTGCCTGGGAGTCTCACTGGAAACGCCATCTCCGCTGCAGCTTCAGCCTTCGCTTTTTTTCTACCTCTACAGTCATGGCTCTTATGAGCCAAGGGCCCATATATGTAGTAAGAAACAGAAGCCATGCTGAGAAGCAGGTTAAAATTTACCTGGAGAGGCTGTTCTAGACAGTCTAGTTTCAAATACCTAAGGCCAAAACAGGCGAAAGAATTTCCCACGGCAAAGTCACAGATCAGTTTAGTCAGGGACATCACTGAACACAACAGGAGCTGAAATAATCTATTTTCCATTTTCTGTTTTGTGCACATGACATATTTTTGGTGCTATTTGTTTTTTCCTCTTTCTGAAAATTACCACTTTTAGCAGCCAAGAGTAAGGTCCAGGTCATTGTTTTTTTTTCTGGCAGATATGTGCTACCATACATTGCATGCTCACCAAAGGTAATCTTTCAACCCTTATATTGGTGCCAGAGGCACCACCATTANTGGACTTTGACTTGAAACTGGTCATGGTTCTTATGAGACACTGGGTCGTCTCCCTTTGATAAACAGATAGCTGAATTTTTTATTCTATGAAAGGATGGAGGGAGTTAGTCTTTGTAATTCGTTCCGTATTTTGTAATTTGGTTTTGAAGGAAAAATATAGAAAGAAGAAATGTTATTGATATGGCAAAATCCCACAATAACACATTCCTCGTAATACAAAACTGGATGTAGCAAAATTAGTAATTACCTGTGGCCTCTGCCCAACCTCTGTTCTTGAATGTGGGCAGCTTCGTTTACCCCCTGCTTCTGCAGCAAGGCTGGGGAATATGGATGATGAAATGGACCAGGGAAACAGCAGGCAAACCTATTTGATAAAGTAGGGATGGAGGCTCCTAGATCACTGGTATTCTTCCCAGATTAGGACAATGAAACAGGCACTGGCCATGGAGGAGAGCCTTAGAATTGCTCCAACTGTCCTAGAATCCCTTCCTGCTACAGAATCCACTATCATTCTATTAATATTTAAGCTGGAGCTGACAACCGCTCCCAATGGCACCATATGGCTGCTGGGCCCTGGACCCAGTTGAGTCATGCCGTGGGTGTCAGCTCTGCCATGCAGCTAGCTGTGCCGCCTCCAGTTATTTGTTTCACAACAATGCATCTCCCATTTTACAAGACTTACATTTAGTTGAACTTACGTATAGCACCGCAACAGGGCTTTATGGTACTGGACACCAACGGGAAGCTAGTGAATATTTGTATTTTGTTCAATTGATTTTTGGCTTCCCAGAATTTGAGCCTATTTCTACAGTTGAGAAATTCCTACTGCTGACTCAATATGAGGCGGTCCTGGTGGTACCCAATACTCAGTTCCCCAACCTCTCTCACAATTAGAGTAATTAGGTGCAGCCAGGATGCAAACCTGTCTGGGATCTGACACTGAGTGATAGTAACAGGGGCATTTTCACTGAACCAATTCTGCAACACGGTTTGGCTACTTTGTCTTCAAACTTTATCTTCCTATCTTTCCAGTGACTCCATGAGTTCCTCATTTTTTTTTTCAATAAATTTTCTTCTTGGACAACTGTTCTTGGTTGATGCTGAAACTAAAATCCTTGGTTGATACTATATAAATAATTTCTAAGGTGAATTTCTAACTTTATTTTTTTGACTAGTGACCCAGGAAGTAGGCCCACCCACTAACAGGGCTCTGGGCACGCAGTGGGTCAAAGTGAAATGATGAGCCGATTTGAGCAACTGTGCAATCCTTGAATCAGTCTGCTTCCAGCATCAATTTGCTATTTCCTTGGTGAGCTCTTTGAACTCTCTGCCTTTAATCTCTCCTTCTTTCCTATGGCTCGTCTTCCAGCCCCTACTGTAGGGACAGGAGAGGAGCCCTTATATCCATACAGCTTCATTCTCCTCCTGTATTCTTTCCTCTCTTCATTAGTGCACATAAGGAGTCAAGGACTGACTGCATACAGTGCTGAGGAGTTCATGGACATGCGTGCAAGCACACATATATTTCTTCCAAACTTAGTGTCAGAAAAAGTGACCTGAAATTCCTAATTCAGAGAAAACAACATGATTGGTCCAAACCCTAAGACAAAACAACAATCTTTCAGGGACAGAATCTCATAAAACTTTTATGGAAAGAAATACTTTTGTTGTAATCAAAGCATCTCTCTTTCCATTCTGGTCTTGATATTGGTGTTATTTTCCTAGGTCACACCAATAATCAGGAGCATAACCAGAAGTTCAGAACCAAGTCTTGCTTGCATTTGTACATTTCACAGAACTGTATAAATTCTCATCATTAAATGTCCTGGGAGGGTCCATAGATATTATCTGATGTGATTACACACACACACACACACACACACACACACACACACACACACACACACAGTGTTCAGTAAGAGGAAGAGGCTTTCTATAAAAAGGCAAGTCTCAACTTCCAACTGAGCTCACTCATCTTTAAAGACCCTCCTCATTTGATTGAAAGTTAATTTCTCCACCCAAGATATCAACCTCTTCTCCCACACAGGCCCATTTTAGAAGGATCTCAGCAAGCTTTGCACTTTGGAAAGTCTACTGTGCTGGTTTTTCCACCATGGACCGTGGCTTTTCCTGCTGACCATGATACCCAAGGCATAAATTGAACAGACCAAGCTTGTGAATATACCCAGATCCAAATGCAGAAGATAAAGGATAGATATGGGCTGCTGCTCAATGTTTTCATTGTAACACAAAGTAACAGAAAAAACTCTGATTCACTGAGGTTCCAAAGGTGCTGTTCTCTGGGTTAGCAAAGCAGCTCAGGGGTAAACACAGAAAACTAACAGACTCAAGTTTTTCTTTGGCCTGTAGGAAGCTCAGACCTGACTTTGTAGCCCAAGTTTAGTTATGATATGAAGACTTTATCCCTACCTTATCTTAACCTTCAATTTCCTAATATAATTACTTTTACCTTGTCATAAATATTTCTGTAAGTCATTGTTTATTTTTCTGGAAAACAAGGTGAATTTATTTTTACCATTCTAAAATTTCAAAAGAATCGTAGTCTCCAAATGTTTTAAGGATATTACATATAGGTCCTGTGCACCATTTACCTGGTTTCCTCCAATGATTATGTTTTACACAATAAATATAACAAAATATCAAAACCAGGAGCTTGATATTGGTACAATGTGCGTTCTAGAGCCTATAGTGACACGATCTCCTGTGTGCTACCCCTGTAAAGTCACACCCACTCCCCTCCCCCACCACCCTTAACCCCTCATAACCACTAACCTGGTCTCCATCACTACAGTTTTGTCATTTTGAGAATGTTATATAAATAGGTTCATGTAGTATGTGAAGGTGAATGTATTTTTCAAGTATATTTATTTGCTCATTCATATTCTTTCCCTAGGTCATTTTCATTTGCGATTTTATTCATACATTCACATATTCAAGTGGCAAACTCTGGGCTAGGGCAGCCACTGCTGAAGAGATGTGACATTTTCTAAGCACCCCTGTTGTCCAGTATCTTATAATTTGTTTAGGAGATAAAATCCAGTGAACTGACTTTGGACTTCTGGGTTCCAGAATTGTGAGGGAATATATTTGTTGTTTGAAGCCACCGTGTTTGTGATAATGTTATAGCAGCTCTAAGAAATGAACACACTCCCTGACAACTAGGACAGTGTCTTTCTGATACATGACAAGTGTTCAAGAAATCTTTTAAGAAGTTC